GGATTAATGTTTCATACTGAAAATAGTCTCTCGTTCCTCTGCCACGTCTTAAACCCGTTTGTGTTTCTTGTAGTTCATATTCCAATTTATTCTCAATCCTGCTCAGAATGATATGAAAAAAGATTTTGCTGGCATAACTATTCAGGAGCAGAATATAGACTGATCTTGTCAACGCTTTGATCCAGTCAGCACTGTTCCAGAGACATTGTGCATGGTTTCGAATGACGCTGGCTTCTCCTCCAGCCTGAACTAACTCTGCTGGTAAATCGTCACATCCTGGAGATTTGCACGATTTCAAGTTATTTATTGCTATTCTTACCTCCTCTAATAGAGGACATTGTTGACTGATGAGAGGACACGTTGAAGAGAGGACACCGTTGAAGAGAGGACACCGTTGAAGAGAGGACACCGTTGACTGACGAGAGGACACCGTTGACTGATGAGAGGACACCGTTGACTGATGAGAGGACACTGTTGACTGATGAGAGGACACCTTTGACTGATGAGAGGACACCGTTGACTGATGAGAGGACACCGTTGACTGATGAGAGGACACCTTTGACAGATGAGAGGACACCGTTGACTGATGAGAGGACACTGTTGACAGATGAGAGGACACTGTTTACTGATGAGAGTACACCTTTGACAGATGAGAGGACACCGTTGACAGATGACAGGACACCGTTGACTGATGAGAGTACACCTTTGACAGATGAGAGGACACCGTTGACTGATGAGAGGACACTGTTGACAGATGAGAGGACACTGTTTACTGATGAGAGTACACCTTTGACAGATGAGAGGACACCGTTGACAGATGACAGGACACCGTTGACTGATAAGAGCACACTGTTGACTGATTAGAGGACACCGTTGACTGATGACAGGACACAGTTGACAGATAACAGGACACCGTTGACAGATGAGAGGACACTGTTGACAGATGAGAGGACACTGTTGACAGATGAGAGGACACTGTTTACTGATGAGAGTACACCTTTGACAGATGAGAGGACACCGTTGACAGATGACAGGACACTGTTGACTGACGAGAGGACTGTTGACAAATGAGAGGACACTGTTGACTGATGAGAGGACACTGTTGACAAATGAGAGGACACTGTTGACTGATGAGAGGACACTGTTGACTGATGAGAGGACACTGTTGACTGATGAGAGGACACCATTGACAGATGACAGGACACAGTTGACAGATGACAGGACACCGTTGACAGATGACAGGACACAGTTGACAGATGACAGGACACCGTTGATAGATGACAGGACACTGTTGACTGACGAGAGGACTGTTGACAGATGAGAGGACACTGTTGACTGATGAGAGGACACTGTTGACAAATGAGAGGACACTGTTGACAGATGAGAGGACACTGTTGACAGATGACAGGACACAGTTGACAGATGACAGGACACCGTTGATAGATGACAGGACACTGTTGACTGACGAGAGGACTGTTGACAGATGAGAGGACACTGTTGACTGATGAGAGGACACTGTTGACAAATGAGAGGACACTGTTGACAGATGAGAGGACAACGTTGACTGATGAGAGGACACTGTTGACTGATGAGAGGACACTGTTGACAGATGAGAGGACACTACTGACTGATGAGAGGACACTGTTGACTGATGAGAGGACACTGTGGACAGATGAGAGGACACTGTTGACTGATGAGAGGACACTGTTGACAGATGAGAGGACACTGTTGACTGATGAGAGGACACTGTTGACAGATGAGAGGACACCGTTGACAGATGAGAGGACACTGTTGACAGATGAGAGGACACTGTTGACTGATGAGAGGACACTGTTGACTGATGAGAGGACACTGTTGACAGATGAGAGGACACTGTTGACTGATGAGAGGACACTGTTGACAGATGAGAGGACACCGTTGACAGATGAGAGGACACTGTTGACAGGTGATAGGACACCGTTGACAGATGAGAGGACGCCGTTGACACATGAAAGGACACCGTTGACAAATGAGAGGACACCGTTGACTGATGAGAGGACACCATTAACAGATAAGAAGACATCGTTGACAGATATGAGGACACCGTTGACTGATGAGAGGACACCGTTGACAGTTCAGAGGAAACTGTTGACAGATGAGAGGACACAGTTGACAGATGAGTGGACACTGTTGACTGATGAGAGGACACCGTTGACAGATGAGAGGACACTGTTGACTGATGAGAAGACACTGTTGACAGGTGATAGGACACCGTTGACAGATGAGAGGACACCGTTGACACATGAAAGGACACCGTTGACAGATGAGAGGACACCGTTGACTGATGAGAGGACACCGTTGACTGATGAGAGGACACCGTTGACAGTTCAGAGGAAACTGTTGACAGATGAGAGGACACAGTTGACGGATGAGAGGTTACAGTTGACAGATGAGAGGACACTATTGACTGATGAGAGGACACCGTTAACAGATAAGAGGACGCCGCTGACTGATGAGAGGACACCGTTGACTGATCAGAGGGCACCGTTGACTGATGAGAGGGCACTGTTATCATCCCTAAAAGCCAAAGTGTCTGATTAATGTCTGCCAGTGTCTCTCTGTAAAAGTCGAACACCTGTCCGATGAACGAACCGTAAACTTTTCACTCTGATCTGTCCATAATAAAATAGTCGTCTTGTGCTGGGGCTGGTGGTTTCCTGATCGATTTAATGATTCTTTTCTTTTGGTGGTATGTGACTGGTACATCCGGCTGCTCTTTTGTCACACCTTCCCCTGCCAGTTGATCAGCTTTCTCATTTCCAGGCACACCACAATGTGATGGTATCCACTGCATTACGACTTTTTGCTGAAGGCTGAGTTGTGTCAGTAGTGTTTGCAGTTCTGGTAGTTTCCTAGACTGGAGTGCTTCAAGTACTGATTTTGCATCTGTCAGCATTACCACATACTGGGAGCCAAGATTGGTATTTAGCAGTTTCTCTGTAGCTATCTTGATAGCCTAGGTTTCTGCTTCATAGTTATGGCAGTACTTCCCGGTTGGTACGCTAGACTTATCCCTAGTACCATCTGGGAATTCTATGTACACTCCAGCACCACCATTTATAACTGCACTTTTTGCACTTTCATCATCATCATCATTATCACTATAACAGCGAGAAAACTTCAACGGAAAATTATTGAAGAACAACTTAAAACAGCATGAGAACTTCAAAATAAAATTATTGAAGTACAGCATAAAAACGTCGACGTAAAATTATTGAAAATTAAAATTATCTGACAGGGCCATCTTGATACTTACAGAGGTTTACATAGCGGGAATTACCACACCAATACAAGCCGGGCCACCAAAAAACTAGATTCAGACTGACAGACAGACAGAACCACACAGAAACAGACAGAGACAAACAGAGAAACAGAGACAAACAGAGAAACAGACAGAGACAAACAGAGAAACAGACAGAAATCGTGTTATCCTTTACACTGATTGTGAATGCAAGCATTAAAAAATTCAAGAAAACATGTAACTGATAGGGATGAGTAGGACAAGCGAGTGAGTTAGTGGGTGGGTGAGTTAGAGGATCAATGGGTCAATGAGCTCAGTGGGTGGGTGAGTTAGCGGATCAATGGGTCAATGAGCTCAGTGGGTGGGTGAGTTAGAGGATCAGTGGGTCAATGAGCTCAGTGGGTGGGTGAGTTAGAGGATCAGTGGGTCAATGAGCTCAGTGGGTGGGTGAGTTAGCGGATCAATGGGTCAATGAGCTCAGTGGGTGGGTGAGTTAGAGGATAAGTGGGTCAATGAGCTCAGTGGGTGGGTGAGTTAGAGGATAAGTGGGTCACTGAGCTTAGTGGGTGGGTGAGTTAGAGGATAAGTGGGTCAATGAGCTCAGTGTGTGGGTAAGTTAGAGGATCAATGGGTCACTGAGCTCAGTGGGTGGGTGAGTTAGCGGATCAGTGGGTCAATGAGCTCAGTGGGTGGGTGAGTTAGCGGATCAGTGGGTCAATGATCTCAGTAGGTGGGTGAGTTAGCGGATAAGTGGGTCACTGATCTTAGTGGGTGGGTGAGTTAGAGGATCAGTGGGTCAGTCAGCTTAGTGGGTGGGTTAGAGGATCAATGGGTCAGTGAGCTCAGTGGGTGGGTGAGTTAGAGGGTCAGTGTCTCAGTCAGCTCAGTGGGTGGGTGAGTTAGCGGATCAGTGGGTCAGTCAGCTCAGTGGGTGGGTGAGTTAGCGGATCAGTGGGTCAATGAGCTCAGTGGGTGGGTGAGTTAGCGGATCAGTGGGTCAATGAGCTCAGTGGGTGGGTGAGTTAGCGGATAAGTGGGTCACTGAGCTCAGTGGGTGGGTGAGTTAGAGGATCAGTGGGTGAGTCAGCTTAGTGGGTGGGTGAGTTAGCGGATCAGTGGGTCAATGAGCTCAGTGGGTGGGTGAGTTAGCGGATCAATGGGTCAATGAGCTCAGTGGGTGGGTGTGTTAGCGGATCAGTGGGTCAATGAGCTCAGTGGGTGGGCGAGTTAGCGGATCAGTGGGTCAATGAGCTCAGTGGGTGAGTTAGCGGATCAGTTGGTCAATGAGCTCAGTGGGTGGGTGAGTTAGCGGATCAGTTGGTCAGTGAGCTCAGTGGGTGGGTGTGTTAGCGGATCAGTTGGTCAGTGAGCTCAGTGGGTGGGTGAGTTAGCGGATAAGTGGGTCAATGAGCTCAGTGGGTGGGTGAGTTAGCGGATCAGTGGGTCAATGAGCTCAGTGGGTGGGTGAGTTAGAGGATCAGTGGGTCAGTCAGCTCAGTGGGTGGGTGAGTTAGCGGATCAGTTGGTCAGTCAGCTCAGTGGGTGGGTTGGTCAGTAAAGATAACAGACATGGGAAGGGAAGTAAAAGATCCCTAAAGAGGGTTACTATAATCAGTAGAGTGTCCTCCCTAGAAATCACAGAGCAAAGGAGCTGCCGGAACTCCACGACAGAAACAATGCATGTGTCCGTCAGTCACCAGGAACTGTTTTAACCTGATGAATGAGCGTCAGATGTTCCCAACTAAGTTACTTACGCGGTACGTGCACCACAGCCAGAACAACTGACACTAGCTGAGAAATAACTTCACACTGTTGTAATCCTGATTGCCTACACCTACAGAATCCTGGCTTCGCCCTCTGATACAGTCCAGTTATAGAGACATAAAGGCTCTAGAATACGCCAGCACTGAACGCGGAAACACAACATATCACAAGTGTATGTTCTCTAGTCGGCACGTACTTGAAACACAACATATCACAAGTGTATGTTCTCTAGTCGGCACGTACTTGCTAATACAGGCTAATCTGGGGACCAGAGAACGGGGCCCTATTGCCTTATCTACATGTGTATGAATGCCAATATCTAGACACGAATGGAGTCTGATAAACTGTAACGTTGCACTCGTGTCCTAATACCTAGTGCATAGACTTGTTGAATCGTGCCAACTGTGTGTACACAAGGGGTGGTACCATCCCGCCTGTAGCTGCATTCGGGTAGTGTCTTCATGTAAGCAAGGTCTTCTTTCTGTACGAGTGTTTGTAGAAAAGTCCCTTCAGAGAGACAGACTATAAATAAGCAAGGTCTTCTTTCTGTACGAGTGTTTGTAGAAAAGTCCCTTCAGAGAGACAGACTATAAATAAGCAAGGTCTTCTTTCTATACGAAAATATGTAGAAAAGTCCCTTCAGAGAGACAGACTATAAATAAGCAAGGTCTTCTTTCTGTACGAGTGTTTGTAGAAAAGTCCCTTCAGAGAGACAGACTATAAATAAGCAAGGTCTTCTTTCTATACGAAAATATGTAGAAAAGTCCCTTCAGAGAGACAGACTATAAATAAGCAAGGTCTTCTTTCTGTACGAAAATATGTAGAAAAGTCCCTTCAGGGAGACAGACTATAAATAAGCAAGGTCTTCTTTCTATACGAAAATATGTAGAAAAGTCCCTTCAGAGAGACAGACTATAAATAAGCAAGGTCTTCTTTCTGTACGAAAATATGTAGAAAAGTCCCTTCAGGGAGACAGACTATAAATAAGCAAGGTCTTCTTTCTGTACGAAAATATGTAGAAAAGTCCCTTCAGAGAGACAGACTATAAATAAGCAAGGTCTTCTTTCTGTACGAAAATATGTAGAAAAGTCCCTTCAGAGAGACAGACTATAAATAAGCAAGGTCTTCTTTCTGTACGAAAAAATATGTAGAAAAGTCCCTTCAGAGAGACAGACTATAAATAAGCAAGGTCTTCTTTCTGTACGAAAATATGTAGAAAAGTCCCTTCAGAGAGACAGACTATAAATAAGCAAGGTCTTCTTTCTGTACGAAAATATGTAGAAAAGTCCCTTCAGAGAGACAGACTATAAATAAGCAAGGTCTTCTTTCTGTACGAAAATATGTAGAAAAGTCCCTTCAGAGAGACAGACTATAAATAAGCAAGGTCTTCTTTCTGTACGAAAATATGTAGAAAAGTCCCTTCAGGGAGACAGACTATAAATAAGCAAGGTCTTCTTTCTATACGAAAATATGTAGAAAAGTCCCTTCAGAGAGACAGACTATAAATAAGCAAGGTCTTCTTTCTATACGAAAATATGTAGAAAAGTCCCTTCAGAGAGACAGACTATAAATAAGCAAGGTCTTCTTTCTGTACGAAAATATGTAGAAAAGTCCCTTCAGGGAGACAGACTATAAATAAGCAAGGTCTTCTTTCTGTACGAAAATATGTAGAAAAGTCCCTTCAGGGAGACAGACTATAAATAAGCAAGGTCTTCTTTCTGTACGAGTGTTTGTAGGAAAGTCCCTTCAGGGAGACAGACTATAAATAAGCAAGGTCTTCTTTCTGTACGAGTGTTTGTAGGAAAGTCCCTTCAGAGAGACAGACTATAAATAAGCAAGGTCTTCTTTCTGTACGAGTGTTTGTAGGAAAGTCCCTTCAGGGAGACAGACTATAAATAAGCAAGGTCTTCTTTCTGTACGAGTGTTTGTAGGAAAGTCCCTTCAGAGAGACAGACTATAAATAAGCAAGGTCTTCTTTCTGTACGAAAATATGTAGAAAAGTCCCTTCAGAGAGACAGACTATAAATAAGCAAGGTCTTCTTTCTATACGAAAATATGTAGAAAAGTCCCTTCAGGGAGACAGACTATAAATAAGCAAGGTCTTCTTTCTATACGAAAATATGTAGAAAAGTCCCTTCAGGGAGACAGACTATAAATAAGCAAGGTCTTCTTTCTATACGAAAATATGTAGAAAAGTCCCTTCAGGGAGACAGACTATAAATAAGCAAGGTCTTCTTTCTATACGAAAATATGTAGAAAAGTCCCTTCAGGGAGACAGACTATAAATAAGCAAGGTCTTCTTTCTGTACGAAAATATGTAGAAAAGTCCCTTCAGAGAGACAGACTATAAATAAGCAAGGTCTTCTTTCTGTACGAAAATATGTAGAAAAGTCCCTTCAGGGAGACAGACTATAAATAAGCAAGGTCTTCTTTCTGTACGAAAATATGTAGAAAAGTCCCTTCAGAGAGACAGACTATAAATAAGCAAGGTCTTCTTTCTGTACGAAAATATGTAGAAAAGTCCCTTCAGGGAGACAGACTATAAATAAGCAAGGTCTTCTTTCTGTACGAAAATATGTAGAAAAGTCCCTTCAGAGAGACAGACTATAAATAAGCAAGGTCTTCTTTCTGTACGAAAATATGTAGAAAAGTCCCTTCAGGGAGACAGACTATAAATAAGCAAGGTCTTCTTTCTGTACGAAAATATGTAGAAAAGTCCCTTCAGGGAGACAGACTATAAATAAGCAAGGTCTTCTTTCTGTACGAAAATATGTAGAAAAGTCCCTTCAGGGAGACAGACTATAAATAAGCAAGGTCTTCTTTCTGTACGAAAATATGTAGAAAAGTCCCTTCAGGGAGACAGACTATAAATAAGCAAGGTCTTCTTTCTGTACGAAAATATGTAGAAAAGTCCCTTCAGGGAGACAGACTATAAATAAGCAAGGTCTTCTTTCTATACGAAAATATGTAGAAAAGTCCCTTCAGGGAGACAGACTATAAATAAGCAAGGTCTTCTTTCTATACGAAAATATGTAGAAAAGTCCCTTCAGGGAGACAGACTACAAATAAGCAAGGTCTTTTTTCTATACGAGTGTACGCGGAAGAGTCCCATCAGACAGACAGACTACAAATCAGCAAGGGCTTCTATATAAGTGCAGGTAAGAAAGTCCCATTAGGGAGACAGACTACAAATAAGCAAGGTCTTCTTTCTATACGAGTGTTTGTAGGAAAGTCCCATTAGCCAGACAGACTACAAATAAGCAAGGTCTTCTTTCTATACGAGTGTTTGTAGGAAAGTCCCATTAGCCAGACAGACTACAAATAAGCAAGGTCTTCTTTCTATACGAGTGTTTGTAGGAAAGTCCCATTAGCCAGACAGACTACAAATAAGCAAGGTCTTCTTTCTATACGAGTGTTTGTAGGAAAGTCCCATTAGCCAGACAGACTACAAATCAGCAAGGTCTTCTTTCTATACGAGTGTTTGTAGGAAAGTCCCATTAGCCAGACAGACTACAAATCAGCAAGGTCTTCTTTCTATACGAGTGTTTGTAGGAAAGTCCCATTAGCCAGACAGACTACAAATAAGCAAGGTCTTCTTTCTATACGAGTGTTTGTAAGAAAGTCCCATTAGCCAGACAGACTACCAATAAGCCTTCTTTCTATACGAGTGTTTGTAGGAAAGTCCCATTAGCCAGACTACAAATAAGCAAGGTCTTCTTTCTATACGAGTGTTTGTAGGAAAGTCCCATTAGCCAGACAGACTACAAATAAGCAAGGTCTTCTTTCTATACGAGTGTTTGTAGGAAAGTCCCATTAGCCAGACAGACTACAAATAAGCAAGGTCTTCTTTCTATACGAGTGTTTGTAGGAAAGTCCCATTAGCCAGACAGACTACAAATAAGCAAGGTCTTCTTTCTATACGAGTGTTTGTAGGAAAGTCCCATTAGCCAGACAGACTGTTTGTACAAATAAGCACAGGTCTTCTTCTTTCTATACGAGTGTTTGTAGGAAAGTCCCATTAGCCAGACAGACTACAAATAAGCAAGGTCTTCTTTCTATACGAGTGTTTGTAGGAAAGTCCCATTAGCCAGACAGACTACAAATAAGCAAGGTCTTCTTTCTATACGAGTGTTTGTAGGAAAGTCCCATTAGCCAGACAGACTACAAATAAGCAAGGTCTTCTTTCTATACGAGTGTTTGTAGGAAAGTCCCATTAGCCAGACAGACTACAAATAAGCAAGGTCTTCTTTCTATACGAGTGTTTGTAGGAAAGTCCCATTAGCCAGACAGACTACAAATAAGCAAGGTCTTCTTTCTATACGAGTGTTTGTAGGAAAGTCCCATTAGCCAGACAGACTACAAATAAGCAAGGTCTTCTTTCTATACGAGTGTTTGTAGGAAAGTCCCATTAGCCCAGAGGTCTTAAATACGAGCCAAGGTCTTCCATTTCCAGAAGACTACGAGTGTTTTTCTAGGAAAAGTACCAGACAGACTACAAATAAGCAAGGTCTTCTTTCTATACGAGTGTTTGTAGGAAAGTCCCATTAGCCAGACAGACTACAAATCAGCAAGGTCTTCTTTCTATACGAGTGTTTGTAGGAAAGTCCCATTAGCCAGACAGACTACAAATCAGCAAGGTCTTCTTTCTATACGAGTGTTTGTAGGAAAGTCCCATTAGCCAGACAGACTACAAATCAGCAAGGTCTTCTTTCTATACGAGTGTTTGTAGGAAAGTCCCATTAGCCAGACAGACTACAAATCAGCAAGGTCTTCTTTCTATACGAGTGTTTGTAGGAAAGTCCCATTAGCCAGACAGACTACAAATCAGCAAGGTACTTCTTTCTATACGTAGGAAAGTCCCCATTAGCCAGACAGACTACAAATAAGTCCTTTCTATACGATGTTTGTAGCCCATTAGCCAGACAGACTACAAATCAGCAAGGTCTTCTTTCTATACGAGTGTTTGTAGGAAAGTCCCATTAGCCAGACAGACTACAAATCAGCAAGGTCTTCTTTCTATACGAGT